CCCCCCCCCCCCCCCCCAAAAAAAAAAAAAAGGTGAAATACTGCTCTGTCTGCACCAGTGTTTAACTACCCAGTAGCATTTGGTACAGAAAGGGTCATGAACAGCATATTCCTTCTGGTGTTTTTATTGGTCATGGGCAACATTACAAAGCGGTTACACTGAATAATGCTGTCACAGTCATATCATAATGTGAGGTTGCTACAACACATTTAAATTTCACACAGTGAAACTACTTTAGGAAAAAAAAAAAATCATGCTTGTAACAGAAGATCAAGAAAATACATTTGGTTAAAAGGAAAAAATGGTCCCAGGCTTTCAGCCCGCTCAAACTGAAGTTAATGGAAAAGCTTCCACTGATTTCCGCAGGCTTTGAATCCAGCCTCCAACATCCACTGACCAAGCTGTCAGATAAAATGCTTCCCTGCTCAGTCACAGGCTCTTCATTCTTCTAACATACTTGTGCGTGATGTATTTTCTTCTTTTTAAATGAGAAGAACATAAATGTCTAATTGACTATGCCAAACTTTATACATAACAGCCAACTTTGGCTCATCATCTTTAGAGAGAGTGTGAGAGTTAAGAAGGTGATAGCACGGGTACTGGAAAAAGAGGGAGTTCCTACACTCCTGAGTGCCTGTAGCAGCTGTTTGTGTAGCTTGAAAGCTTCCCAGAAAGCTCATTACATGCTGCTTCAGAATTTGCATCTGGCAGTGTCTGCATTCAAGATGGGTGACTTATGTGAGCTGGAATTTGGATGACATAGCACTAAGAACAGCTACAAATGCAGCTAGGATCTGGTCATTTGCTGTGAATGAACAACTGAACGGCCTGTGGGCATTTACTGTAGTGATGAGATGTGCCATTAGAGAAGATCATCTTACCATTCTAAGTCAACAATCTTAGTGCAAAAATTACCTTTTCTTGACAAAAATGAGGTTTCAAAGCCCACAGCTAACAAAATCATGCACCAAATTGAGAAAGATATCTTTGCTTCAAGAAAGCAAAATCTTTGCATAAATCTAAGATTAATTTGAAGATAATTATGTGAGCTCAGAGATCTTCCTGAATTAATTTTTCTGATCTGCAGGTGAATTGATGCGTCCTATACCTGCTCATTCTGAGGATGCATATACAACATGCAAATTCTGCATCAAATTCTCTGTCAGTGTTGGAGACACCAGAGGGCACCAACACACCGAGGCTTCCCGGCAAACGGCACACCATTAGCCAGGCATCTTTTCCATCCTGAGGAAGTTTCAGTTACCGTCTTACTAACCGCAGTATAGCTTCTTGCGCCATAAAGCTGCATTATTTTGTGACACCTGGAGCTCAGAATGTAATTCATGCTTCAAGGAAAATTGGAGTGAGAGGTGCTGTTTATATTTCAATGGTCACCAAGAATGTAGTTAATTCCCAGAACTGCATTTGCTAGTTATCTCGATTTTTAACAGTAGAGCATTGATCATAACCCATGCTTTATAAACTTCTCCCTCTCCAGTGCATATAAAAGATAACATTTTTGTTCGTCTCTCAGACTATGATGATCAATGCCATTAGCATTTAATAATGGACATGGTTCTACCACATTCAAGTGGGAATGACAGGAGCTACCACCCTGTGTTATATTCGTAGTCCATCAGGAGTCCCTGAGATACAAAAATGGCACCCACTCTCCTCCCTACTGGCATTTTGGTCAAGAATTCTCAATAAATGTTCCAGCTTATTTTAAAAAAAAAAAATGTTTTCATTAATTAAAAAAAGTCTATTTGCAAATCAGTTGTGAAATGGACAACAACATTACTTAGGAAAAATCAGACTGATTCAAAAGTTGGTAAATATGTTTTTAACTGTAAAATCTCAGATACTGGCTGTTTTCTGTCTTGATAGAAGCTGAGTCCCGTTAGTAATTCTATATCTCTGATCCGAGCTGTATGAAACTTCATTCTCTCTTCAACCCACATGGACTCAGGCTTGCCATCCTATTGGGACAGAGGAAGGAAAAAGGGTTTGTAAACCGTCTTTTTTTCTGACATATATTTAATCAATTAGCAAAAGACATTTTGATGTTTTATAAAGACAGAAAGCAGTAACTGTTGGCAAACATCTAACAAAAAAAAAAGAGTGGTGGATTACAAGTAGTTATAAACTTGTCTGAATTTAGTACTTTCTCAAATGTACAGAGCTTGTAGCTGCACCAGTGGAAGTTGGTGATAATGGGGACTGGCAGGGGAGGGCCAGCATCTATCTACCATCTCTATGATAAAACTCTTTCTGAAAGTTATGCCTGACTTGGGCAGTGACTTGTGTAATTCTTCACTGTAGGACGGGTCGGCACACTTTCCATGTTTTGTTCTGGTTTATACAGAGTGCAGCTACATGCATTCCCATCACAATGCCAAGGCACCTGAATTAGAAGCAACCAATGCTCTTAAGGAACATCTGTGTGTTCTCCTTTTGAGTATGCATTTGGCCTAGCCCTGACCTTGCTTTGTGGATGACTCATCTTCTCCTAGAAGCTCTTCATCCTTCTCAGCTATTGACTGGATATTTGTGCTACAGAAATCTATGTATGTGTCACACTGATTGTCTCAACACACTCTGACTCCACCCTGCTAGCTGTAAGTTTTGCTCTTTGAACAGGGAACTTCTGTTTTCACATTTGAGCATATATACAGACTTCAATATAATTCTATTTACAAAATATTGTCTTCCCTCTCAACATGATCATGATAGACTGTACCATTTTTACAGTCTTTAACTAGTTAATCACTGATATCCAAGCAAAACAAGCTCAAGCCTGGCTTCAGATGTTTATGGGGACTGAACAGACTACTTACTGCACAGCTTTCACTGTTGTCTTCTCTGTGAGGTACAATGAAAGACAAGGCATCTAGAGACCCTTCACACTCCAGAGGAGTTTCAGAAGTATTTTTACAACTAGTCAGCACAATGAAGAAGTGAGTTGGAACTGGAACTTCTGAATTACTGGGGTATCTGAAACACAAAACATCTTTCTGTAAATCCACCAAATCGTATTTGCACAAAAAACAAATGACAGCAATCAGCTATATTCCGGCATATCAATTTTAGCAATTCACCTGTTCAGCCCAAAGAAAGCTTAGGCCTGGAAGAAAAATTCCAGATTACTATTTTGCAAACCACATTTGCCTCATAGGCTGATCTAAGTAACAAGTTTGATAAGGTATAACAAACTGATTTATCATAAAAGTGTGTAAGAATCCGAAGCAGATGGAGAGTTCAGCCTGAGCCCAGAAAACCATCTGCCTGCTGGCTTGAACCAATTTTGCTAACTGGTATATTTGTACTCACAACTTCATACTGGAACACTGCCAGCTCAGGAAGTGTCAACCATGCCACGAGGGATAAGCCCCTGCCTCATCCACTCCTAGAGGCAGTGTCATAAGATTTTATTCTGCCACGTGCAACAGCTTCTTTTACACTTCAACCTTCCGGTTTTAGGATGACACGTTTTGAGGGTGCATTTTCCCTTTGTGCTTGTTGCTTATTTCTTAGCTTCACACTTTGTCTGTTAGGGGCATTTGACTGTCTCTCTCTGAGCTGATATAACCTGCCAAGGGCCCACCTCCACAAGATACTTTCTTTGTTAACAAGGATCATAATTACATTTTAACCACTAATGGAGGAAAGAAACAAAGGATTAGAATGTGAAAGGTTCCTACCTTTTCACCTTTTCTGGGGTATCATAGAGCCCATCAGAGTCATAATCAAACACAGGACCACTGACTACATTGACACCGTTCCTGGCTGCAGCATATCCAGGTAGCAGGGACTGATGGAAGTAGTTCCATAGCACTGTAACACAGTAATGGAAGTGGGAAACAATTTCCAAGGTAGAAGCTGTTAATAACAACTCTGCAGAGTTTTCAGTGGAGTATAAACAAACAGACAGGATAAGCTAGGAAAATAATAAATCATACAGGTCTTTAGTTTTCAAAAGGTGCATCTAACTGAGCAGCAGCACGCACTGCAGTATCTCCTGGGGTTATGGTTTCACAGGCACCCTAACCACAAACCTGACTGAGGCACAGCAACGCTGCTCCCTTGTGGCCTTGGGTTTCTTTCCTTGGAAACCAAAGCATGGAGAGGTTAGGGGAGGGAAGGTGAGAGAAATCCATGCCTGCCTCTGTCGTAGCCACTATCAAGTTGCCCTGTCTAGCTTGTACACCTGTGATCTCGGAAGTATCTTCATGTCCTTAAGTTTATATGTGCCTGATATCTCCTTACTGATTATGATATCTCTAGTTACAGCTAAGAGTTGTCCACTATTCCATTACAAAACAGGCCAGTCTTTTGTCCAGAGGAAGTGCCATACATAGTTATCCTTCCTTTTCACCAGGCACATCTCCCTCAGCCAGTCATCTCATGCTCCCTCTCACCCAGGAAAGCCCAGGCCTTCGTATCTTTTCTACTAGAGAGATGATTATTTTCCTGTTTCCTTTATAATTGAGACCCTAGATTCCTGCCTGGAAACTCATCTGAGTTTAAGAGTGTGTTGGGTTTGCATGGCAAGGTTTTGGTAGCGGGGGGGCTACAGGGGTGGCTTCTGTGAGAAGTTGCTAGAAGCTTCCCCTGTGTCTGACAGAGCCAATGGCAGACTGGGGTAAGCACAACCCACCCCTCGCGCCACCAG